TACACACTGGTACTACAGAGGCTGGAGGTGGCTTTTTTCCTCTCCTGAGAAGAAAACTGAGGGAGAAACGAGCAGCGAGGGTACATAGGAAATGGTCTCTTCTTTCAGCAGGGACCCATAATTACTCCTGTGGAAGGACTGTGGAAGCGGTACATTTGCCTGAGATGAGGGAAAGGAGAGCAATAGTGCTAGTCATGAACAGTGGTTGGGAACAGAGGAGAAGGACATTTTACTCGCATTAGTTTCCTGTCAGTGTGTTTCCTTATTCCACAAACTGCTATATCAAGATGCTGGAGCAAGATGCCCTAAACCACTCCGGGAAGCAAAGAATAGGTGTCATCTTTATTTTGGAAGGACATAGGGATTTCTCCCTATCCATTTTGCAGAGATTTCTCCTCCTCCTGGGACACCCTGGCCACCCATCCTACAACACCATGTGCAACTGCAGATTGCAGGAACGACCGCATGCGTTCGTCAGACAGCACTTGAAGGAGGAGAGAGAAGAGGAGGAGAGAAGGTACCTTTTCCTTTTATAACCAGGGCTGTGGGACTCTGGACACAACTGCCTCTAGGACAAATCACCAGTACCCATCCCACCACATAACCCCTGGGGTTTGCTGGCTGCTGAAAAGGCAGGAAGGACAGAAAAACACAGGTGACTTCAGGAAGCTCTGGGGACAAAACCAGTTCATGGGTTTGGGAGGCAATAGGCATACATACCTTCTGCGTAACAAATTGCTGGGAGCTGGGCTGGTGATTGGACACTGGCAGACCAAGAGTGATCACAGCAGTTGCAATGAAGATGCTTCTCAGTGCAGACCTTATAATGTCCCGTAGCTATCACCCTAAGACTTTTCCCTGTCACCAAAGATGAAGACCATCCTGAATATTAGGACCACAATATGCATCATGTGGTTGACTTCATCATAAATTAAAATGTTAATTTTAACGTATGTGGCAAGTCTCTGAAAGAAGGGTCATGCTTGTCAACTCTAGTGCATCAATCAAAACAGAGTAGTGGACCATGACCTTAGATTGCAAGTTTATCCAAACTTACTCTGCTCAACAGCTGAGCTGCTGTGTTATTTGTAGATTTATGCATTTGTATTCAAAAGCATCCTTCAATAAAAACCAATCAGGTCTAAAACCAGCTACAGTCTAATGGTAATCAAACAACCAAGCCTTGCAACTGAGAACGCTGCAAACATTTTAGAAAATTAGCCAATGTTTCTTTATTAATAAGTGACAGAAAATAAAAAATACATTCAAAAATAGTTTCAAAAACAGTTTCTAAAGCACACACACCAAAAAAGAATCACGCTACTCTAAATGCTTTTTTCTTAAACCTTTAAAAGAACATTAGGTAAGCTAATGCAACAGCTGGCTGTGCTACCACTTCCACAGTATAATCCATAATGGTAAAAGCAGCTCTTTCTGGCATTTTAGTGCAATTTATGCTGTTTACAGGTCTTTTTTTTGCACATTCTCCTATAATTTAATGTCAGTTGATGTCACTCTAGCTTATAAAATCCCCACTAAGTCAAGACAACTCCACTTAGCAGTAACTTTGTTTCCTTTCAGGGCTAATATCAAAGTAGTTGTTTTGAATCCAAAAATGATAAATATCTAACAGAAGCCTGAAGCTATTCTGGTGCTATACAATTGGTGATGTATAATTGAACATTAAGTAATCCAAGTAATAGAAGTCATAGGTCAGCTGTCTCTCCTCCTTAGACAATTCCTTTAAGTATTGCCTCACTACTTCTGCACTTGTTCTCTCATCAGAGGAATGTCTGTCTTTGAATTTAGGAAACTTCAGCTCAGCCGGAGCACCTACCAGCTGCAAAAAGTAATTGGCGTCTTCTTCCAGGGTTTCAAATTTTCCTATAAAATCATAGTTGATGAGGCAGGGATAGCAGAGCTTACTGACTTGCTCCCAATGAATGTCCATTCCTACTGGGCGATGGGAATCTAACAAATATTGGATGAACTCCTTGAACTTAACTCCTGATCCTGTTTTCAATGCCTCTTCATTTGCGTTTTGTCTATACTTCTTAATTATTGCCTTCCCAAATACTGGATGGTAATAGCTGTTTGGATGTTCAAACTTATCCCTGAAGGCAGATACCAGTCTTTCCATAGGATCACGTACAAATATGGTCTTGGTGTACATGTTCAAGCGTGTGTATATCCCTTTTAGGTCATAACTGTCCAGTTTCCTTAGATGCTTTCCATAGTGCACATCGTCGTGGGAAATGTTGTGTGCTGAAGCAGCGAGTCCATTGAGCACCATGAGGACCCTTTTCCAGTTGGAGCAGCCTGCTTTCGGCACTTCGCAGTAGAGGACCTTGTGCCTGTCCTCCACGTAAATTCTTGACACCAGGTGCATGAGGTGGGTTTGAAGCTTCTTTCTGCTGTTGTATTTCTTACAGAAGTCACGGAGGAAGGACCTGCGCTTTTCCTGGGCACTATCCACATCCTTCCACTTGCCACCCTTGATGAACGTCTTGTTTAAAGGGTGCAGTGCAGGAGGTAAATATACCCCTCTGAACCGGCTGAGAGGGGACTCACTCATCTTCTGCTGGTCAGACAGCTGGCTCACCAAGGATGCAGCCACCACACTGAAAGGGTCAGCTTTGTTCCACCAGTGCCTGCTGCCTGACATGGCCATCTTGTGCTTCCTGAGGCCAGGAGGAGTGCTCCTGCTCCACGCTGCTCTCCTCGGCGTCCCTGGAGGTGGGAGCGTGAAATCCTGCAAACATGGAAAGGAGCAGAGCTTACAACGCAGCAACAGCCCAGCCCATTCACACTGCAACAGCAGCAAGGATGGTGGTGCCTGCTCATGACCAAGCCGCATTTGGTACTACAAAGTCTCTTTTGAACCACCTGATCGATACATCTCATTTATCAACAAGCTAGGCTAATTACTTTAATACATGCTTCTAAAGCTTACCTGTTAGCATACGGTATGTCTTCCTACAGAAATAAATAGCTTCAGCCACACCTTTTGAGAAATCAGAAGAGGTTCACACAGGGAGGCTGACAGTCCTGGTAGGGGTGGCCAGGTGCTTCTCTCTACCGAACACATTTTCCCCTGCCACAGCACTGGTTGAGTTGCATGGCCGCTAACAGCCTTCCGGACCGCACTGGCACAGTCACACTAGGAGCTGCTGGATCCGCTTCCACCGCTGTGCCTTGGAGCAGGCCTTGTTCCCCAGGGGTGGTAGGGGACAAACCCAGGGCTCCTGGATAGCTGGCATCAGTGGGTTTGAGCAGGGGGTAGTGACATAAAATCCTCCCTCCAGAAAGGTCCTATTCCTGTCCCCCTACAGAGAGATCGTGGAAGTGGGATGCACCGGACTGCCTGCACATACAGGTGTTTGCCACACAGATGCCTGCACCTGAGCTAGCTGCTTTCCCAGCTGATAAGGCAAGATAGGTGCCTTTAGAGCCTATTCCATCCGACTTATTTAAACATCAACATTAATGACATCAACTAACTAAACATCAACTAGTGACCCCGCGAAGAATGTGAAAAGATGAGACTTTCCTCCCAAACATCTCTTTTAATGTCCCCAGCCACCGTGCAATCCACAAGCTGCAGAAACGGCAAAGCTCGGATCTGCGTTTTGCCGTCAAATTTTTCAGGGTCTTGTATCACACAATTTGACTGAAGCGTTTCTTGCAGTATAAGGTATTTCTGCTCTCTCATTCCTGAGTAGGATTCTCCTATGTTTACTCAGGCTTGTGGATGTTTTCTCCTGTTAGTAGACAACCACTGAGACAGCTATACAGCTGCCTATTTTCATTGCTCTTCTGCAGCTTGGGGGGGATGCTGGTCAACAGGTTTTAAACATCCTGTTGCAAATACCAGGTAGCCACATGGTTAGATGGACACACATGCACAGACTGCCCAACTGCTTTAATAAGTCTAACTTTTTTGGAAATCTACATAAAAAGACTCTTCTGCCATAAACTGATTAAACATTTACTGGAAAGTTGATTTGTGGACTGGCAGACCATAAATGTGGGTTTGGGGGGATGGCAAAGTTCATAGACCGACTCAAATAAGGCTGTTAAAAATTCAGAGGAATAATGTAAGAAATGGTAATGCATGGAACACAATTTGAGTTCCAGTTTGAAATAAAGCCTATGGAAAAACAACTATTTTGAAGAAAAATTAGCCTATCTTGTAGTGTAGTAATTTCCAATAACAAAAACAAAACAGGGGGATCAGGCTATTCTGTATTGCTGCAAACCACTGACAATCAGGTCTTTGTTTTCACTGAACTGGGTAAAATGATTTTTGTATTGGTGAAAGCAAACAAAAGATCAGAGCCATGCAGGACTTGTACATCTGTGAGAGAGGGCAGGTCAGTGTTTTCAGAGATGCAATAGGATACTTGAATTCTTTCAGTTTGGTGTGGTCAATTTTTCTAGTACAATTTGGTTTTTTAAATTCTGTTGTCTAATATTTCATTCTCTAAAACAAATGAAACATATGTGCCTACAGATTTATCCCTTCTGCCCTAGGAGAGAAAGAATTCTGGAGCATAGTTAGTGTGTAATAACAGAAAGTAGTTAAAACAGGGGATGACTATGAGCCTAATGGGAATTTCGGCATCACAGTGAATGGCAGCTTACAAGTGCTACTGCAGAACCACAGACTTACAAATAAATGAAATGCTTTGACCTTAAAAGAAAAACTTGGATCTTAAAAAGGTGAAAATTAAAAATGTGAGATACACAGAAATCAACCACACAATACCAGGCTCAACAGAAGTAGTTATATTACACTGCTAAAGTAACCAAAGAGTGTAAACTCATCAGTGCGGCTCTGGGGAATTTTATGATTTACAAGACAGTCTCCAGTGATATGTGACTGTACTGGTGTCCCCCAATGCAGAAAAAATTCAAGAGAGGGCAGCAGTACCTCACAACTTCCTATGGTATGTAATCTGAATTTAGCAGTCTATTTCAGGAGATATTTCAGTGCAGAGACACTTAAACCATTTGAATTTCGAACTAAAGGCACTAAAATGAGCCCTACACTTCAGAGGAGAAGTTCATCCTTCTGAATTCATCCTGCCATCCTGAACTAGTGGAAGATGCCTCGGTTCCACCAGGCCAAGAGGGAAAAGGACAGACTGAAAGGTGTGTGGTCTTGATTTTGTTACATGTCAAACCGTCTGCCTGGGATCCAGGACCAACCTCAGGGAATAACCCATGGAGATACCAGAAGAAGATTCCACTTCAGTCTCGGAAACTGCGAATGCAGCTGTAGGAACCACTACTGAAGGATTTTTCATGGGATTAAAGACTTCAGAGAAGGATGGGCAGAAGTATTCAGAGAAATCTCAGGTAACACCCTAAAGGAACAACATATGCACAGTGGGAGTCACTTGAAAGGGACTCCCTCCAAGCGAAATCAGGCAAAAGAAGAAAGAATCTATCAGGAAAAAAAAGCCCCAAACAGAAGGAGAAAAAAAAAAAAGACCTAGGGGAAAAACAGTGACACGGGAAGTTCTAAGGACAAAAAAATTATCTAAATATGTAAAATACTATTAGTTGCTTCCCCTCTCCACTTCCCCTTGTCATTGAGACACATATCCCGTAGTGAATACAGCAGTATTGGCTAATAAATGTTATTATAAGCTCCATGAGGGATAGCGCTTGCAGTAAATGCTGGCTGTAGTATCTAAGAATGGGAATGGATAGTGATAATTTTCAAAAGCATAAATGGCTGTTACACTGACATGGAAGTTTTCCAACTCAAAAAAAAAAAAAAGAAAAAAGAAAAAGAGAGAGATCAAACGTTCCGATATATTTGCCTGAGTAACTAGGTTAGTAGCTAGTAAAGGTGAGATGAATGAAGGGATGAATCCAGCCTTTTGATGAAAAATGTTTAACTAGAAATTTTTCTTGGGAAACTAACAGAAATTTTTAAATAGATAGTGCCATATTTCTTAAGCAAAACTACCTGACAGTCTGGCATATTTAGCTGCTACCACTCTTATATGCATGAGAGAGCTAAAAGCCAGACACTTTGAAACAATTTTAATGTTTTACAGTACTAGGCTTACACTAAGTGAGGTGCCTTCTTTGGCTTCCTCTTGGTGCCAGTGACTTTTCAATGCCCATTTTATGACACGTAAAAGATCTGAACAACTACACGTTATGTTGATTTTATTCACAGTGGGAACAGGAAAAGAAGAGACTTGCAAAAACAATAAACATTTTTAAAAAAACCCTTGTCCATTACACGTACGTTCCTAACAGTCCACCCCGCAAGCTGCTGAGCACCATTATTTTGGAAAACGCCTGAACATACACCAACAACAGGCAGCACACAGGTAATCCCATATCAGTCGCTAACTCTGGATCCAGGTCTTCTCATGCAAACAGTCCTTACCGAACTCTCTGAGCCAAGTGTCCAAGTGCAGGGATGTCCATTTATGGCTTTCCAAAGAGCTGCTAAGTTTGGGAAAGCTGCCTGGCACGGGAGATGAACTCCATGGTCACCTTGGACAGACACAAGACTGTCCTTGAGCCATACTGACGACCTTGCGTACATTGCATCCAAGAATTAAAATCCAGTGAAGTGTTGCACCTTTACCACTAATTATGGAGAGTGCCTTGTTCTCCGTTTGCATTAACACATTTGAAAGGAAGTTAAGAAATGGCCACAAGTCCAATTTAGAAGAGTATGCACATTGCCTCTGTCTCCCTTTAGCTAGGCAGGAACTGAAGTCAGATTTAAAAATTAGTTTAAATGCAAGGAAAAAAGGAATTTAACAGACAGTTAGTGTGGTATTTGGGTACTGGCAGGCAACTCAGTGAAGCTGCTGAAACAAAAGGCATTTTTAATTCATTAATGGGTTCATTGATCTTTTTTGACATTTTTATTGCTGGAGATTCCCTGCTCCTCCCCATCTACAAAAGGATTTCTCTTCACTGTAAAAATAAGTAGCCAATACCTTCTTTTACACACATTGAAGCTGTCCTTTCCTTTAATACCTTCACAATCCACTGGAGTAGAAGAGATTGACTACTGCCAAGAATGGTTAAGACTCATCCAATTATGCTTTGTGGTGGTTTTACAATGCACAGGTGGGATCTCATCTAGACAGTTTGCAATTAGAGCAACCTACCATGCAAAAAAATAATGATGTATCGGAAAGGATGATATTCCAGGGCTGATTTACAAAGATTGAATGGCCTGCAGTGCAGACAGTGCTGTGTTTCCTAAATGCTTTAGTGCTGGATCTTCATTTCTACTAAGAAGAATAATAAAACTAAGTGAGCCTAACAGAAAATGTAGGACAAAGAATAGTAGACGAAAGAAATACTCTGTTTTATCATGCTTTTCTGCACTGCCAAATTACTACATTAGTATTAGTAATGTATGGTTTGGTTCTCAACATCTAGCTAGTATCTCTTCTGTCCTAAAACACATTTCCTGAAATAGTCCTCTAAGATGCTTCTTAGGAGCAACTGCATAAATCACCTGGGAGCCTACTGTGCTCTGCTTTTTACTGTGGAGTGCCCTGAGGACCCTCTCAGAACTATTATACTAAATAGTTAATATAGGTGCTCTGCAAAGACATGGATATTCAAAGATGATAAAAAACTTCATTCCTTAAGACAAGAACAGGCTGAAACTTTTTTTTTTTTTTTTTGCAGATGAAACTTAAGAAAAACAAGTATTTAGAAGTACAGAGCATTTGTGTTTTCTGATCAACCCAGGCAGGG